TGGCATATGCTCTTGCCCACCTTGGTAGGGGTGTGGAGGCAGATCACCTGGTGGCTGACCACGAACCTATGCACCTGCACCTGGTGCCACTGAGCGGGGAACCCTGCTGTGGTGCAGAGTCCAGGCTGGGGGCAGGTTGGGGCAGAGTGAGCTCGAGGCACGCGGGGTTGTTGAGGAGGTCGGTGAGCCCCATTCCTGAGAGGCTTGCCAACGGGAGACAGGAGATGCTGTGACCCTGGAAGGGGCGTTGAAGATGCGCCGGTGTGGGTGCTGATGGCTGCAAGGCTGCGTGCCACGGCTGCTCGGGGCCCCTGGACCACAGCACCCCTGGAGGCAGAGCTGGCACCTCCCTGCCTCCCTGCCTCCCTGCTTCCGCATTCCAGTGCCTGGGGCTGACAATGACAGGATGACCAGAGCTGGTTCTTGTGCTTCTAGTGATGTGTTGTTTCCATTTGTGTGTCTGACTCTCGCACACAGTCTTGGTCAACCAGCTGCTTCATGTCTCTCCCCTTCCAGGGGTACCCTCTCCCTCACTGACCTGCCTAGAAGACCTCCTCCTTCCAGGCCCGGCTCAGAGGGGAGCAGGTGCAGAGGTCTTTCCTCCGCCCCACAGCCTGGTAGCCCTCGCTTCCTTCTCTGTGCACACCTGCCTTCCCAACAGGCCGTTTCCCCTGCGTCGGCAGCTGGGTGTAGCGCACCAGGCTTGGTACACAGGATAAGTGCTGAGCAAATGTTGAGGGAATGAATCAACACTCAGCGCTGAGGGGCGGCCCGGGTCTGGACGCACAGACACATGTTAGTAAGAGACGCACGCAGGTATCTTCATCCAGGTGTTCGACAACGCATTTCTGTAGCCAAGGGACCAGCTGCAGCTCTGCAATGCTTCGCCTTCCGTCAGGGAAGCTTGGGGCAAGGAGGGAGCCAGGGTTTGAGGCTTGGCTCCCGTACCTGTTAGGTGGGTCGTGACTCTCGGCCGGTCAGTCACACTGGCTCCTGAAACCTCAGGATTTGATCTGTTAGAAAAGAAAAGGAATAGTAGTTGTGTATCTAAGGGTTGTTGTGTGAAGCCAAGACAGCCCCTAGAAGTGTGCTTTGGGGTCCTAAAGGGCCATCAACAATGTCACACCCCCTCTGTGGATCGCTGCTCCCTGGATTCCAGCCCTTTGCTTGTGGGGTCCCAGCAGTAGCACCCCGACACCTCCCTGCTGGACGTTTCATGTCGTGGGGGCTCTAGAGCACAGCCCCTTTGGCAGCACCCCTGACTGCCGTACCACCAGGGACAGGCAGCCCTTCACCCTCACCCCTTACCCCTCACCAGCTGTGGTAACTGGAATGTCCCCAGTTATTGGCAGAGGTCCCCGGGGGCTGGGGGACAGAGTCCCCCTGGGGAGGACTCCTGCCTGTACCGCCTTCCTTCTCACATTCATCGGCAGTTTCCCAAGGCAGGTCTTGTCTTCAGTCCTGGTTTGCAGAGGGGGTAGTTGAGGTGCAGGGAGGTGAGTGTCCCAGCAACATGCTTGCAGAGAGCTTCTGAGAAAAGACATGCCTCCCGAGCGCACGCCCACGGATGCAGGAGAGAGAGGTGGAGGAGTTGAGGAGAGCGCTGCTCTGCTGAGCCTGGGAGACCGCAGGGCTCACCTGTGCCGTCCCCTCTCAGACCTGAGTCTCCTCATCCGTGCTGGGGAGAGGCGGAACAGTCTTGGAGTCCTCTCTGCCAGTGGCATTCCTGGCCGCCCGCACTCCTCACTTCTTTATGTGCCGTCTGCATGGTGCAGATTGTGTGTGTCCTGGTGAGTCACGATCCTGGCTCTATGGAGCTGGGAACCCCAGAGTGTGGAGGTGGAGCAGGGCCGGCCAGTGTCCTCACTCTGCAGGTGGGCACAGTGAGAGGCACAGAACTGGGAGGAGTTTCCCACAGTCCTGCAGCAACATGGCATCAGACGCAAGACACAGGCTTTCAGTGTCTTTTCTTTTTTAACAATTTATTTATTTGAGAGGCGGAGTTACAGAGAGAGGGAGAGACAGAGGTCTTCCATCTGCTGGTTTACTCCCCAAACGGCTGCAATGGCCTCAGCTGGACAGATCCGAAGCCAGGAGCCAGGAGCTTCTTCCAGCTCTCCCATGTGGGTGCAGGGGCCCAAGCACATGGGCCATCCTCCACTGGTTTCCTAGGCCACAGCAGAGAGCCGGATCAGAAGAGGAGCAGCTGGGACACGAGGCAGCATCCATAAGGGATGCTAGCATTGCAGGCTGAGGCTTAGCCCACCACGCCACAGCGCAGGCTCCCTCAGCGACTTTGGAGTGCACCGCCCACTCCTGAGGATGCTGCAGCCTGGCTCGAAGGGGTTCTCCCAGGGCCCCTCCTTCCACTCTCCCTCTGCCCACTGCAGCAGAAGCAACCTGGAGCTGAGCGCTAGACAGAGAGAGACCCGGCAGGGAGACCACCGGCCACCTGCTCCCTCCGCTCACGCCTCTTGGGTTTTCCTTTTCAGTCGGTATTTTATTATTTATTCAGCACTACTTAAGACATTGAGAAGATTGAGAACTTCCCTGCAGCCCAGACTAAGAATTTCAATTAAATTTACCTGCGTCTATCCCCTCTCATTTTCTAGTTCCACCTGAGTAGTCAGGAAAACACACTAGATGGAGTTTTAAAAATTAAAGTGAACACACAGGGTGTTAAGCCTGGAGAGCAGCAGTCATTTTGAATTGTGTGGTAACCCCTGGCAGTAGCTCCAGACCTCACACTCGTGTCGACAAACCGCTGTTAGTCAAAACCAATCTCTAGCTCGAGCTGCACGTCCGATTACTAACCCGGACAACAAAGCAAGCTCCCCTCGAACGCCGGAGAGCGTCGCAGAGGTCCTGGGACAGCTGCGGAAGACAGCTTGCCGACTGGCAGGAGCAAATCCAGATGCAGCAGGGACCAGACATTCCACAGTGCCAGGCCGCCGCGCCGTGTGGCGTCGTGTCTCCCCGCCTCCACCACGGTCACGCCTTCCCCTGATGGAGGTGTGTGTGGGGGGCCTTCATAAAACCAGCCCAAGCCCCAGGTACATGGAGCTTCCACATTTTCCCCCAAGCACGTAAAAACGTGTTTGAAATGCTCGCGTACAGCTGCCCACGGGAAGACCGCGCAGGCTGGCAGCGGAGCGCGGAGGGCCCACTTGCCTTCGGCTTAGGGTGGAAGTTGTTCCTTTCGCAGCACCCTCCAGGGGGCGCTCTTGCGCTCTCACTGACAGCCGCCTCGGGGAGCTAGCGGAACAGCGTTCCCGAAAGCCGCAGGGAGGGCCCCGCGCAAAACCTGGTCCAGCGCGGTGCCGCCGCCACCAAGCGAGGTGTCCCGGGGGAGCCCCGCGCCTGCTCCTGCCCAAGTTTGCGGGCCACCCCAAAGCAGCGTCCGCTCCTCATCTGATTCGCTGGGACACCCCTGCAGTGCCTAGGGGGAGGGAGGGTGCCTGGGGCCTAGCGCGCGGCAAGACCTAGACACGCCCTTGTGGATGGACCTCTGTCCGCTGTCGGCGGGCTGCGCACCACAGCGCCCGGCAGAGGGCAGTGGCTGCACACTGAGGACCCAGCAGCGGTCAACGGTACAGCTGCGGCTGCCCACGAAGGACCTGGGTGGGCACCCCTATCCTGCCGTGTGCGCCAGGGCTACCACCAAGCACCAAGGGCTGGAATGGACTGCGGCGTGGCTGCGCTACACCCGTGGACCTGGGCAGGTGTTTTCTCCTGTGGACTGACTGAGGGCAAGGCCCGCCGCGGACGTGTTTGTGCTGGAGGATCCAGCGGGTGTCCTACATCCTGGTGGCGGTGCAGCTGCGGCTGCGCACCGCGGACCTGGGCGGGGACTGGAACCCAGCTGTGTGCGTCACAGCTGCAGCAGGGCCATAAGACGCAGGCGGCGGTTTCCACCCCTCAGACTGCGGCACGGCTGTAGCCGAGAGCTGAGGACCTTCTCTGGCGCTGGTGCCCGGCCGGCTGTGCAGGGCGAACCTGCGCCGGCTTCGTACCCCGGGAACTTACGCACGGTGGTGGCACGACACCCAGGATCTGGGAGGCCGATTTTGCCCTGTAGGTTGCGGTGTGGCGGGGCTCGGGGCGGGCGTTTTGCGCTGTGGATTACGGCACCAATCGTTCTGGCAGATGTTTGCACCCCGCGGATCACGGCTCTGCTAGGACCCGGGAGCAGGTGTTGACGCCACGGATTGCGGTACCGCCAGGACCCAGGTGGATGTGTCTACGCCGTCTATCTGCCTGTGTTTACGCCTCGGCTCGCCGCACAGCCAGGACCCAGGTCTAGGTGTTTACGCCGCGGATCGCAGCACGGCCAGGACCCGGGTCTAGGTGTTTACGCCGCGGATCGCAGCACGGCCAGGACCCGGGTGGACGTGCTTACGCCGCGGATCGCCTCTAGGACCCCGGTGGACGTGTTTACGCAGCAACGCGGTCTAGCTGTTTACATGGCAGCTCGCGGTTCAGCTAGGACCCGGGTCTAGGTGTTTACACAGTGGATCGCAGCACGGCCAGGACCCAGGTGGACGTGTTTACGCCGTGACTCGCGAATCGGCCTCGGACCAGGGTCTAGCTGTTTAAGCCGCGGCTCGCGGCTCGGCTAGAATCCGGTTATTGGTGTTTACGCCGTGGATCGCGGCACGGTCAGGTCCCGGGTGGACGCATTTATGCCGCGGATCGCCGCTTAACTAGGACCCGGGTTGACGTGTTTATGCCGCGGATCGCCGTTTAACTAGGACTCGAGTGGACGTGTTTACGCTGCGGATTGCCGCTTAGCTAGGACCCGAGTGGACGTGTCTACGCCTAGGGTTGCCGCTTAACTAGGACCTGAGTAGACGCGTTTACGCCGCGGATCGCGGCACGGCCAGGAGCTGGGTGTAGGTGTTTACTCCGCGGGTCACCGCTTCGCTGGGACTAAGTCGCCGCACAGCAGGACCCAGCGGGGAGTCTTTGTCCTGCGGACTGCAGCTCAGCTCGCCAGCGCCTCCAGCACAAGGTTTTAGCGTGCGGAGGCTGGCATGGCGAGGACCTGGCGATCCTTTTTACTCCGTGGATTGCGGCACGGGGAGGACTTGGGCGGGCGTTGTCACTCCGTGGATGGCGGCGCGGCAAGGATCTGGGTGGGCGTCTTCACCCTGCGAATCGTGGCGCGGCGGGGACGCGGCGGGCGTCGCTACGCCGAGGATTACAGCACGGCCCGGACCTGGGCGGACCTCCTCATTTTACGCATTGCGGCTTGGCTCGCACCTGGGCGGATTTTGTCTTACAGATTGCAGCAGGCGGGGCAGCAGCGGCGCGCAGGGGCCCCGGGCGAACGCGTCCATGCTCCGGAGTGCCGCACGGACAGGAGCCGGAAGGGCGTCTTCACCCTGTGGGTTGTGGCGCGACTGGGGCCGGGGCGCGTGTCCCTACCGTGTGGACTGCGGCGTGTCTACAGCCGTGCGCCGAGGACCTGGGTGGGCATTTTGCCGCTGCGAGCGGCAGCGCGGCGGGGGCCTGGGCGTCTGTGTTTGCTCCGCAGACCGCATCGTGACTAGGACCTGGGCTCGCGTCCTTGCTCCGCTCACTGCGTCATGGCGCAGCCACGCAGCGGGATCCTGGGCCTCCTTAACTTCCCCTGCCCCCTGTGGCCTGACCAAGGACGGTTTCCACCCCGAGAACTGCGGAAGGAGGATGCAGGTGGTGGCTCGGCTGAACTTGCACGGACGCCTGCCCTGGGGGTGGCGGCGTGGCTCCGACTTGGGCGGGCGTCCTTCCTCTGGGGACTGCTTTGTGGGCGCAGCTGCATACCAGGGACCACCTGGAGTTGCCGCCCCGACCATGGTCTGTGTGGATGATTTTACTCTGTGAATTCCGGGCCGGCTAGGATCTCGTGGGCCATTGTTATCCTGCGGATTGCGCAAGGCTATGGTCTAGGCGGGCAATTCTACGCAGAGATTTGGGTTCTGGCTGGGATCTGGGCGGGAGACTTCTGCCCCGGATTGCCCCGCTGTTGGGACCTGGCAGGCCGTTTTCCTTTGTGGATTGCAGCGGCCTAGGGTCTTCACGTCGGCGTGGATTTCGGCGCGGCCAGGGCCTGGCAGGGCATTTGACTCCATGGGCCGCAGATTTCACACCGTGGATTTCTGCACGGCTGAGATCTGGACGGTCGGCTTTGCTCCATGGATGGGGCCCAGCTAGGGCCAGGGCGGGTGCTGGTACTCCAAGAATTTCAGCCTGCCTAGGGCTGGGCGGAGTCTCCACTCCATCTATGTTTTTACTCTGTGTATTGCAGCATGGTTAGTGGGACTTTTTTTTTTTTTTTAAAGATTTATTTGAAAGAAAAGATGACAGAGCGAAAAAGATCTTCCATCTGCTGATTCGCTCCCCAGATGGTGGCAGCGGCCAGGTCTGGATCAGACCAAAGCCAGGCGCCAGGCACTCATCTTGGTCTCCCCGTGGGCGGCAGGGCCAGGCACTCATCTTCCTGCCTTCCCAGGCGCGTGAGCAGGGAGCTGGATTGCGCTCCAGCTGGCGAGGAGATTTAACCGGCTGTGCCACAAGGCCCCCCGGCAGGCATTTGTTCCCGATGGGTAGCCGCTCGACCAAAACTTGGCATTTTTACCCCAGGATCTGGATTTGTGTTCTCACTGCGGGAATTACAACACAGCTAGGACCTGTGTCCTAAGCTGTGGGCGGCAGGTTTTTGGTTTTTTGTTTGTTTGTTTGTTTTCCCTGTGGATTGCAGCACAGCCTGGCTCTGGGCAGGGATTTTTCCTCTGGATTACAGCTTGGCTAGGATCTGGGAGAGTGTTCTTGCTCTGTGGATTATACAGCTCAGACAGGATCTGGGCAGGAGTTGTTACTTACTCCATGGATTGCAGCACAGCCACGCTCTGGGTCAGGAATTCTACTCTGGATTGCGGCACGGCTAGGACCAGGGTGAGCAGTAGTACTCTGTGGATTACAACATGGCTAGGACCTGGGAGGACGTTTTTAACCCTGTGGATGATGGCGTGGAAGGACCTGGGCCCATGTACTTGCCCTGGATTTTGACCTGGCTAGAACCTAGGCATGTGTTTCGCCCTGTGGATTTCCACGTGGTTGGAACCTGGGTCAGCATTTGTTGTGGATTGTGGCATGGCTAGTATCTGGGCTGCTGTCCTGGTGACCACAGTGTGGCCACGGCCCTGCACTGAGGACCTGGATGGTGTTCTTACCCTGTGGCCTGCACTATGGCTCAGATCTGGGGGCCTCCTTACCCTGTAGACTGTGGCACAGACAGAGGACCTGGAGCAGGGGCAAGAGTTTTTACCCTGAGAACTGGCCAGGGGAGGATTCCAGTGTGCCTCCTGACCTGCAGATGCTGGTACAGCTGTGGCCCTGCCAGGGCAGCCAGGGCACAACTACTCTGCCCGTGGAGGAGGACCTGGTGGGCATGCCTGTCCTGCTGCCTGTGACAGTCTCCCACCAAGCAGAGACCCAGATGGGCGTCCTCCCTCTGCGGATGGTGGCATGGTGCCAGCCACACACAGGACCTGTGCAGGTCTCCAGCCACCTTGCCGATGGCCACCAGTCCACAGCTGCATGGCAGGGACCTAGGCCGAAGCCCCTCCTGCCAGCTGCCCTTCTGGCACTCACCAGGAACCTGGGCAGGTCTTTTCCTGTGGAGTGCAAATGGCTCCCTGCTGCACACACCGCGGGCCGAGCCGGCTCGCTCACCTCATTTTGAAACAAGTCCTGGGCCCTTGCTGTGGGTGGAGCTGAAGGACACCCCCCCCCCGACTTTTATTGGGGTGGTGTCATCCCAGGTCCTGCTGGGCCCCTGCTCGCTCCGTGATCGTATGCATGTTTGCAGCGGTCAGCACCGGATGAGGAGAATCTGCGCTTTGCCTTCGCTCGCCGTCCTGGGAGCAGTGCTTCTACTTGGTGGCCCAGGCGTCCCACACTTGAGCACACGGATTGCCGGCCGCACAGTTGCTCTGCAGTTTCCCCCATCTTTGCCGATGGCAACTCCATCCCTCCAGTTGTTCAGGCCAGAAATTTTGGAGTCGTTCTCAGCTTTTTTGTTTAAACTTCATACCCATACCCAGTCTTCTAGTGAATTCTTTTTATTTTTGTCTCTAAGACATACTCCAAACCCAGCTACTTCTCATCTGCTTCACTGTTCCTGGCCACTGCTAGGCGCACTTGGATCCTTGCAGTAATTTCCTAAGAACTTGAGTGTTTGGGGCTTTTCTCCCTGCGGTTGTTCTGTTGTCAGCGCAGCAGCCAGGGTGACCCCGTTAGCGCTCGGCAGAGGTCCCCTAGCTGCCTGGAGTGAAATCTGAAATTCTTGCCGGTGCCTGAAGGCGCTCCTCACCCACCTCCCCGCCTCCTCCAGTTTTCCTCTCTCCTGTCTGGCACTCGGCGCAGGTGCGCCAGTGGAGCATGTTGGGGGAGCAGGCCTGTGGGAACACTTGCACTTCACCGTCTGCAGAGGCTCTTGCCTCTTCCTGAGGTGCTGGGGACCTGTATCTCCACAAGGATGGCTTCCTCCCCTCCTCAGGTCCCTGCTAACCTCTAAAATTCTGAGTACGCGTGCCCCACTTAACATGGCAGCCCATCCTCCTCTCTCCTGGCACCTCCTTCGCAGCTCCTGTTTTCCTCTACTTTTTTTTTCTTCCAAAGCACTTCTCATTTTGTAACATACTGCATGGAGGTACTTCAAAAGGTTTGTGGAAACATGGAATTAAAAGATCAAAATGAAGACCTTATTTCTGCACACAGCTCAAGACTCTTTTGCTAAGTGATGACTCCAGCCACTGAGTCCATCTCCAAAGAGCTGAGGGCCCTGGGAATTTAGCCACGTCTGTGTGGTCCATTTTACGTCATAAACCAAAGAGAAATGGGTGCCCTTTAAAGATGTTTTAAGGCTGGGAAACAGAAGTCCGAAGGAGCCATGTCAGGACTGTAAGTGGATTTACCTGATTCACTTTCCCAGCAGAAGCTCAGAAGAGTCACCTGGGTCAGGCTCGAGGCATGGGCAGAGCGTCGTCGTGGTGGAGAAGGACCCTGGGGACACTGTCCTGGAAGGTGTTCCGCTGGAGCCGGGCTCACCTCCTCGAGACCCTCTCCCAACAGCAGTCCTCCAGGAAGTCAGCGAGCACCGTGCCTTGGGCGTCCCCCAAAGCTGCTGCCTGACGTTTGCCCTGGGCTGGACCGCGTCTGCCCCCGGTAGCTGCTGTTGGATTGTGCTGTGTCTTCAGCGTTGCCCTGGGAGAGCCGCGTGCCTGCCCTGCTCCAGTTCTTGGAAGCAGCGCTTCGGGACCGGATCCCAGCTGTTGACGGCTTCCTCAGGGAAGCGTCTGCAGACGGTCTGGGCGCAGCCGCTGTGGCACCGTGAAGCAGCTTTCGTTTTGCCGTCAGAATTGGGTGAGCTGGGCCACCCGAGATGTCTGTGGTGTTGCCGTTTCTCCTGCCGATCACCGGTCCTCTTCAGCGAGCGCGTGGGTGAGGTTGATGTTCCCTCCCAAGCCCGTGAGGATGGTCCACTCCGTCCTCGGCGACGCCCAGCTGTTCCTGAAAGGAGTTAATCTGCTTGCAGCCTGCTGACTGCTCTGGGGGACACTGTTCCCACAAACTGCGCGTCACGCGTCGCCGATCTCACCGTTCTCCCACCCAAGCTTCCCCGCCACACTGATGTGTGTTCGTGCTTTAATTCTAGCAGGATTTGTGTTGCTCTGTGGGACTCTCAGACTGATGGCTTCTCCTTCTTAGTGCCTTACGGTGTACCTGTTCAGGCATGTAACGTGCTCGTGTGAGTTGATCTTGATGCAAGAACGTTCTGTGACGCATACGTTGTTTTTCATGACACGCATTTCCACGAATTCCTGAAGCCCCCTTGTGTTCCTAATCATTATGTCTTTGTTGTTGTTGTTTTTCTGCCCTTACAGAGGTAAGTTTGTTGTTTTATTTATGGGTATATTCCAAGTGCTAGGCATGTTATACTCGTCAATAAAATTTAGAAAAATCTCACTGGGGAATGTGAGGTTCGTGTTCTGGTGGATTTTCCACGGCACACGGCGCAGTAAGGGTCCGTTGGGTTCTGTTAGAAGGCCTGAAGGTAATGCTGAGCTTACAGGGAGCGGACCACTTTCTCCCGTCTCTCCTGCACTTCCTCTTTCTCATTCCCCTTCTCTGTGGGAGCTGTTGCTTGATGAAGACACAGCTATTAGGTCGTGGACCTGTGTCGGAACTAGAGACGGCCATCGCATTTCCAGTCTCCCATGTCGCCACTGGAAGAGCCGTGCTCTAGTGGCCCTCGATTGGCTGGTGTCTGCCCCAGCCCAGAGAAGGTCCCCTCGCTGTTCATTTAGCGTCTCCCTGATGCGGGTTACGGAAACTGTCACTGAGACCAGCTCTTGTGCTCACCTGCGTTTGCTCTCAGGCATGGCTGGCTGTGGGGTTGAAGATGGGCATCAGTCTCTGGTCAGGTGGCTACAGGCGGACTGTGTCTCAGATGCTCAAATCTCAGAGTAGCTTGGCTCCTGGGGCAGGCACACAGCAGCTTGGAGACTCCGTGGTGTTCTGGCATGGCCACCAGATTTGGTTTCCGGGACTCCATTCCCATGAGTTGTTTTGTGTGGTCACTGTTTGAATGAAGCGTTCGGGGCTGGGCCTCGGTTGGTGGTCAGCAGCCATGCTTGGGGGTGCCTGGTACAAGGAAGAAGGCGACTAGCTGTGATCTCATCTTGGCGCCAAGCTAACCAGCTCCTTAGTGGTAGCCCTGTCTCGGGAGCGAGGGACCTGAGATCCAGGAACCGAAGCAAGCTGCCCAGCCGCACGCTGCAGCAGCGGGAGAGCTGGCCTTGTCCGTGCTACTTCACGGGCAGCCCCTGCCAGACCCCATGCTGGAGCATAGAGGACATGGGCTTGGTGGCCGTGCCCTCGCCCTGCTGGGGCACTCGTGGAGTGAGGGCTGCCACAGCGCCCGGCTGGCCAGCAGCTGAGAGCACGGTGTTAGTCCTTCCAGACTGCTCCTTGGACCGTGCTAGACCCCAGTGTGGTGGTGCAAGCCGTGAGGAGGCTCTGCTTTGAGGTACAGCATGACGGTGTGTGGCCTCCGTAGCCATCCTGACCTCACGTCTCTGCTGCTGCCCTCACTGGTTGGCTGATGTGTTGTGGAGTTCCCTTTTGTGCATGGTGGGCAGTCAGGGACTGGGCTGGAGGGGGCTGTGGGTGGGGCTCCCTGCAGGTACTGCTCCCACCACAGGTTGGGCAGTTGTGAGCTCAGAGTGGCAGGTGGGGTGAGAGAGCTGGTGCCCCAGGCTGTGCCTGGTGCAGAGAGAGAGAGCGCGCTAGCTAGCATACTGCCCAGCAGTCAGTGGAGAGAAGCCTCTCTGAGGCGGGGCTCCGTGTGGGGCCCCTCCAGGATGACCAGTGCTTCTGTGCGGGCACTCTCTGTGCTTCATGACCAGGGCGGTCTTGGAAGGGAAGCACAGCCAGCTGGGAGGACTGCGGGATGCTGACTGTGGCTGTGCTGCCCCTGGTGACCCCTGGGAGTCACTGGCAAGTGAGTCTGGCCCAGGAGGGGTTGGGCTTGACCTCCACGTCGTGTCCAGCAGCTTAGTGTTTCTGCCAGCAGCCTTCCCTCCAGGTGTTGGACGTCGAGAGCTTGTCCTTCAGGCACTGCTGTGCTGGACACCCCCTTCTTCCCAAGACTGGTGGTCAGCCTGATGGCCCCAGGGGTGGTTCCCACACAGGGCCCCCCTCCAGGGAGCAGAGACCTGGAGGCCCTGCCAGGACGTGTTGATAAGAACAAGTTGCTGATTGCAGAGTTTGGAGGTGCTCAGCTTGCTGAGATCGGTGGGTGTTAAGGGTCAGTTAGCGTACAGGGCACTTTGAAAGCTTTCCTAACTTTGGCTATGAAAGCAGTGGTTACTGAGCAGATACAGTGTACCGAGTGCTTCATGTGCCCTTCTTCCTTTGATCTCAGCCAAGTCTCGGGTGCCGGCTCTAAAGCTGGTCTCGGAGCCCGTGCCCTGTGTGTTCTTGATGAGAACACAGGCAGTGGGTGCAGGAGTAAGTCCATGAGCCATCGTTTGTTCTCGTAGGGGATCGAGTCGTGCCAGGCTCTCGCCCCCTCATTCCTGCTTCGCAGAGGCAGGACTCTTTGATGGTCGTGGGGTGGGACACCTCGGGTGAGTCCCAGGTCGGGTTCCTGCACTCCCCAGCTGTGTGATCTTGGGCACTGAGTTCCTGGTGGCTGCTCTCTGAGCTGTGGCAAAGGAAGTGTTTGTGAATGCCTGGGAGGTGTCCCGAGGAGGTGGCCATGGGGAAGGCAGGCATTCCCTCTGCACAGAGCAGGCAGCTGCAGCCAGGGCTGGCAGTGGACAGTGATCTGTGGCTGAATTCTAGAGTGGATAGCACGTGGGACTGGGTGTGTCTGTGTGTGTGGGGGGGGGGCACAGACCTGCACACGCAAGGCCCTGCAAGGGCTGGGGTTGGCCCCTGTCCAGGGCAGTGGGGGCTCCCCATAGTGGAGAGAAGACCACTGAGGGGAGCAGTGCTTGGGTGGGAGGAGTTGGTTCAGTCCTGTTATTTTTGTAACCTACTCGCGGTGGGCAGGGCACTCGCGGTGGGCCAGGCAGCCACTCAGGACTCTTTGAAGCAGACTTCAGAGGCCCTCATGTCGCATCTCAGCCGCACTTGTGAACTTCCCACCGGCTTTCATCTTGACGCTTATCTCAATCACCCCGGTTAATTATTTCCCTGTCTGCGACTGTACACCAAGGCTGTCCGTCATCCTCCTGGGCGAACCTCTTTCCGTTGCTCCAGGAAGCACCCTTGGCGGTAGTATTTTGGTGGTGGGAGAGTAGCTGCCTGTGCACAGGTGAGTATGAAAGGCCCCGCTCTGTGCAAGCCCAGGGGAAGCCTGGGAGGAGGGCACGCCCATCCTGCTGGGCTTTGCTTCTTCCCCGATTGCTGGTGTGCAGTACCTGCCAGGTCCAGTGTGGGGCCCGGGGCCATCACAGTACAACAGGGGAGTTGGAGGGAAGGCGCATTCTGCAGGGGGATGCCAGATGAGGAAGAGGGAGCCTGGGGCCAAGTGCTGGATGGGGACAGCAGGCTGCCCGGGCCTGAGTCCAGCTGCCCAGCTTGCAATCATGGGACTGGGGACGGACCACCTCACCTCCCTGTGCCTCTGTTTCCTTGGTGAAGGGAAATGGCCCCTCCCCTGGCAGTGAGCGTCTTATGACTTGCTCCCGCAGGACCACAGTTCATTCTCTTTCTCTGAGTGGGCTCCTCTCAGCCCTGCAGGCTGGACATCAGCCTGTCAGCCTCTACCGGCTCATTCTCGTGCCCTCAGAGTCACACCAGCCTGGCTCCCCGAGCCTGGTGGGTCCCAGGGAATCCATCTGTGCCTGAGGAAGTGGGCTCAGGTGAGCTTGCCGGCCGTCTGTCTCTGTGGGCAGCTTGCTGGGAAAATGGGCAGGGGACCTCAGAGGAGAGCCGGGGTGCTGGGAGTGCCCAGCTGTTCTCTCTCTCTGTGCACAGGTGGTCTGTGAGCCTTGTCCCAAAGTGGGGCAGGTATGTGTGATGGGGTGTGGGGTGGTTTCCAGGACCAGTGGTGAAGTGCTCAGAACTTGGCCCCGCCCACATGTCCAGTAAGCGGTATTACTGGGTTAGCTCCAATCCCCGATCTTCCTGGTAAACTGGACCAAATCTCCTGGTGACTCGGCCAGTGGAGCTAAGATAATGAGGACGTTTTGGAGAAGCGTCTGCTACTCATTATCGGGTGGACAAATGGAATTTGCCTGCAGGTCAAGGTTCCCTGCGAGCAGGGACACTCGAGGAGCTGGGTTTCTCAGCCTCAGTTCTGCGCAGGTGTAGCTCTCGGCAGGGGGTCTCGTGCAGAAGCTGCAATGGATGGGGGGCCAGGTGCAGAGCTGGGGGACAGGCTGTGCCATGTGTGAGTGTTGGTGAGGGTGTTTGCATGTGGTAGGACAGAGTCTGTATTCATACGGGAGTGCGCCAGTGGACTTCAGAACCAGCTCGGCGAGCCTGGCTGGACCCTGCCGTGCGCACACCTGCGTGCTGGGTCTGTCCAGCTCTGGGACTCCTGCAGAGACTTCTGCTCGGCTGGGGCGGGGGCAAGGCTGCTGTGCTGAGGGAGGCAGTGCTGCATCCTTGTGGGGCAGCTCAGGCTGTCGCAGGGAGCAGGCAGGGAGCAGCATCGATGGAGCATGGCTGCTCTTAGCAGATCCCAGCCCTCCCCACGAAGGACTGCTCTTCCTGGGAAGACAGTATCCCAGCCCGTGTGGTAGCCCGTGTGCTTGTGCAACCTGCGGGCATTTAAAGTCTGTCTCGTTTCGCCTCCCAGGAGCTTCTCTGTTTCACTGCAGAGCTGGGTGTGATCGCAGCCTGCAGCCTGGCGTGAGGCGCACACACCCCACGGCCTGTCTGAACCCCTGCGGGCCCTGGGCTGTCTTCTGAAGGGGAGAAGCTGGTGGCCGGGAGCAGGTGCAGCGCCTGCTCCTGGCCCAGGGAGCAGGTGGCTCTGAGGCCGGCTGAGGTCTGCAGGAGCTTTCTGAGGAGGGCGCGGGGAAGAGAGGCCTTGTCAAGGGAACCTGTGGCTGGAATGTGCTCCCTGAACGGAGAGGAGGAGCCGCCGTCTCTGTTGCTTCACTTGTTTTACACACAGCTTGTCTAAGGACCAGCCTGATTTCCACCGCCAAAATTCAGGCACAGCAGAGTGCATGAAGAAAGTGCCCCAGAGTCTCCCCCAGAAAGAGTTGTGTCTCGTGCGAGGTGCACCTGCACAGGTGCACGAGTGCAAAGGCTGCAAGATACAGTGCCACACCACACGCGCTGTTCTCACCAGGACTGTCCAGTTTTAGCCTGCTTGTGTAACAGGGAACATGAGCGGCAGTGAAATGTAAGGCATATCCAAAAATGTAAGGCATTTATTCCCGTCAACCGCAGTTACACTAAGGTCTCTTTAAGAGGAAGGAAAAGGATTGTGGAAAACAGGAAGTGGTAGGATCGCTGGGCTGTGGATTTCAGTTTGCTTCAGATTGATTAATGTTTCTATCTAGGTAGCATTCATTTACTGAGATATAACTCATGTGAAATAAAAAACAGACGTGGAGTTCCGGGCTGATGGATCCTGACGCCTGTAGTCGTCCGTGCGTTCACCTGTGTGGGTCCCTCAGAAGGCTCCCCTCTGGCCTCCCAGAGAGTTGCAGCTCGCTTCTGCCTGTCCCCAGACCAGAGGCTGTATGTGCGCTCTCCTGTCTGACTGTTTTTGCTCGACTAATTAGTTTTTTATTGTTGTTTTCAGGTCCATTATGTCATTGTATATTTCAGTGTTTTTTTCCCTTACTTTGTATTGCTGAATTATTGTGCCGTTGTAAGAATACACTACATGCTCAGGCCAACACTTGGATTCTTCTAGATGTAGACCCTCATGAGAAGGCTGCTTTGAAAGCCCTTGGACCAGACTTTCTGTGTGCGCATGATTTTCTGTGGGTATTTATGTGTTCTTACGTCTGGAAGCCTGGAAGTCGGTTGTGGTTGAGAACGTGTGGCGTCCTGATGAGTTGGACCGCACTCGGCCTCCAGTCCGTGACCAGGCTGTTTCCCCGTTCCTTGGGTGTGCTTTCCTTTCAGCCGCTGGCAGAGTGCATCACTCATCAGATGGATTCTTCAGTTTGCTGTTTAGGACCTTGTGGATTTTTCAAATGCTTGTTTATAGGATTTAGAAGTACAGTACCCTTTGGTATTTGATGCCCTTGTATCCTGTTATTTTACCAAATTAACATATTACTTCTAGAAATTTCTTTGGAAGATTCCATCGTGTTTTCTACACATGCAAGTATATCACCTATAGTGATAATTTTCCTCCTTTATTTCTAACAATTTGTGCCTTTTCATTTCTTTTTATTGCCTTATTGAGGCTAAGGTCTTTATTTCTTAAATATTTAAAAGAATTTAACTTACATAAAATTATGCATATTTATAGTGTACTATGTGATATTTTGATACATGAATACATTGTGTAATATCCAGAGTATACATGTCTATCCTCTCAAGCATTTAACATGTTGAAAACGTTCAGGGTCCTTTCTTGCCTTTTTTTGTTAAAGAGATGGACACCGCACATTGTCATTATCTGGAGCTACCCTGTTGTGCCACAGAATGCCAGAACTCCTTACACTCCTTACTGGAATCTATCTGTAGCTTAGCCTCTTAATCAACCCTCCCCCATCCCTGCCCCCTCTCCCCTCCCCAGCCTGGGTAACTGTCACTGCACCCTTGCTTCCCATGCGATCAGCTGTTTCAGACTCCAGTATCAGTGAGACCATGTGGTGCGCACCCTCTGTGCTTGGCTGGGTCACATAGCGTGAGGATCCCAGCACCATCCGTGTTGTTGCAGATGGCAGGATTCATCCTCTCTGCTGGCTGGGTAGTGCGCCACTGTGTGCTTGTACTGTGTCATCTTCCCCTTCACTTGTTGGTGGGTGTTTCTGTTATCTTTATTTGTCTGCTAGTAGTGCTGAAATAAACGTGAGTGTACAGAAATGCATTCAGCTGAGTGATTTCATATCCCATGATGGGTGTACAGTAGTGTACATGCTGGGCCATATAAAACTAGAAGGAAAGAAAGAATAAAACTCAGAGAAAATACAAAAAAATCACTGAAACAAATAGCTGGTTCTTAGAAAAGATAAATAAAATTGAGAAATCCTTAGCTAGACTAAGAAAAACAAGAGAAGACTGAAAATCAGTGAGGAGAAGGGAGACTTTAGGATTCATACCCTAGAAACACAGAAGATTGGTAGAGATTATTGTGAGCAATTATATGGCAATACATTTGATAAGCGGAGAAATGGACAAATTCGTGGACAGATACACTTAGTGTTTGAATCATGGAGAGCTAGAATACATAAGCACACTAGTCAATAGTAACAGAACTGAATCAGTGATAAAATGTCCATCAAAGAAAATCCCATATGACATCACTGCTGAATTCTATCAAATATTTAAAGAAGAATTAACACTAATTATTTTTAAATTATCCTGAGAAAGAGGGAATTTTATCAAACTCACTGTGCTAGGCTGTGGTTATCCTTATCCCCAAACTAGATAAGGCCATAACTAACGAGAACTACAGACCTTGGTGAGCATAGTGGCAGAAGTCCTCAACAAAGCACGGCACACTTGATGAAGTGGGGTTCACCCCGGGTGTGCAAGAGTGACTCAGCGTGGGCAGTTCAGTAAACGTGACACAGCAGATAGAATGAAGGAGAGAAGTCATCTAATAGTTGCAGAAAAGGTTTCTAGGAAAATCCAACATTGCTTCATGACAAAAACTCTGAACCAGTTAGGTAGAGAAGGAACATATCTCAACGTAGAAGCCAACAGCTAATACCCTGCAGATTGGGACAGGGCTGAAGGCTTTGTCTCTCAGACCTGGAATGAGACAAGGATGCCCACGTCGACCACTTTTATGAAAAACAGTGTTAGGAATCCTAGCCAGAGCAATTAGGTTAGAGAAAGAAATAAAGGGCAACCAAATTGGCAAAAAGGAAATAAAATGTCACTCTTTGCAGATGACAAGATCTTACATATAGAAAACCTCAAAGATACTGACAAAAACTATTAGAACTAGTAAACACATTTAGTAAAATTGCAGTCTACAAAATCTACAAAAATCAGTAGTGCTGTTACACACCAATGGTAACCATCTGAAAAATGTATCAAGAAAGCAATCCCAGTGTCAACAGCCACCAAATAAATGAACAAAATGACCAAGAATAAATTTAGCTAGAGGTAGAATGTCTCTAATAAAAACTCTAAACCACTGGTTACAGAAATGGAACAGAGGCCACAAGTGGAAAGACATCTTGTGTTCATAGTTTGAATGAGTTGTTTCACTACAATGTCTATACTACTGAAAGCCATTCATAAATTCACTGCAATCCTTATCAAAATACCAAGAATGTTATTAACAGAATCAGGAAAAAAATCCAGAAATTTCTATGGAGCCACTAAAGATCCTAAATAATAAAAGCAGGAAGAATTACACAGTCTCACTTCAAAACGCATTATAGTGCCTGCATGGTGTAGCAGGTTAAGCTGCTGCCTGCAATGCTGGCATCCCATATGGACACCTGTTTGAGTCCCGGCTGCTCCACTTCCCATCTAGCTTTCTGCTAATGCACCTGGGAAAGCAGAGGAGGATGGCCCAAGTACCTGGGGCTTGGCACCTATGTGGGAGACCTGGAAGAAGCTCCTGGCTCCTGGCTCCTGGCTTTGACCTGGGCTAGTCCCAGCTGCTGTGGCCATCTAGGGAGTTAACCAACAGATGAAAGATCTCTCTTTCTCTCTCTTTCCCCCTCTCTCTTTGACTTTCAGATAAATTAAATCTTAAAATATATTCTAAAGTTACAGCAGTTAGAATGGCATGGCATCAGCATAAAAGACACATGGGCCAGTGGAACAGAATAGAGATCTTAGCAGCCCACAGTTTTATGGCCAACTGAAGCTTTGACAAATGTGTGAAGACCACACCTGGAAATGGGGAGCCTTTTCAAAAACTGCTGCTGGGGAAATTGGATATCCACGTGCAGAAGAATGAAACCAGACCCCACCTCTCGCCATGTACAAAAACAAAGTGTATTAAACACCTGAGTGTAAGATCTGAACGTCTGAAAGTGCTGGAAGTAGACAGGGTAAATGCTTCAGAACATGGGAATGGGCAAGAATCATTTTGGCTCGGACCCCAAAAGCACAGGAAATGAGCAAAAAGAGACAAGTGGGATTTCATCAAACTAAGGAAAACAAAGGAAACAGCAGTGTGGTGACAGAACCTGCAGAATGGGAGAGAAGATTTGGAAGTTGTGCAACTGATAGGGGCTTCATAGCCAGAATATATTATGAGTTCTCACAACTCAGTAGCGAAACAAACCTTCCAACCGAGAACATGGGCAAGGGATCTAAACATGCAGTTCTCAAAGGAGGGCATACCAATGGCCAGCAGGTGCAGGAGAAGCCACTCCGCGTATGCAGATGGAAAGCACAGCAAGATCCCTGACTCCTGTTAGAGTGGCTGTCATCAAGGCGACAGTGAGGGTGACACCTGTGAGGGTGCGGAGGGAAGCCTGGCATGCTGTCAGTGCAGCTGTCACTTAGAGTAGGTGTCATGTAATGTCTTGTCAGCAACGATGAGCAATTCTTTAATTAATTAATTAATTAATCTGAAAGAGTTACACAGAGAAGGAGAAGCAGAGAGAGAGAGAGAGAGAGAGAGAGAGGTCTTTCATCTGTTGGTTCACTCCCCAATTGTCTGTAACGGCCAGAGCTGCGCTGACCCAGAGTCAGGAGCTTCTTCCAGGTCTCCCACGCGGGTGCAGAGGCCCAAGGACTTGGGCCATCTTCTACTGCTTTCCCAGGCCGTTGCAGAGAGCTGGATCAGAAGTGTAGCAGCCAGAACTCAAGCCAGTGCCCATATGGGATGCTGGCACTGCAGGCTGTGGCTTTACGCACTAGGCCACAGCACCAGCCCCTTCTTGAACTCTTACCTGAGGGGACTCCAACAAGGTGGTGGAAAAATGGAATGAAAAGATAAGTGTAGGGGCTGGCACTGTGGCCTAATAGCAGGTGAGGCTGCCACCTGCAGTGCTGGCGTCCCATATGGGCACAGGTTCCAGACCCCAGCTGTTCCACTTCCGATTTAGCTCTCTCCTATGGCCTGAGAAAGCAGTGGAAGATGGCCCAGGTGCTTGGGCCCCTGCACCCACATGGGATACTGGGAGGAAGCTCCTGGCTGCTGGCTTTGGATCAGCCCAACTCTGCTCATTGCAGCTGTCTGGGGAGTGAACCAGTGGATGGATGATCTCTCTCTCTCTCTCCCCCTCTCTTCTTCTCTCCCTCTCCCGTTCCTTCCCTCCCTCCTTCTCTCGCTCTGCCTCTGCCTCTCTGTGGCTCCACCTTTCAAATAAATAAATAAATCTTTAAAAAAAGATCAGTTTATTTTGGTGTTAAATTTTTGAAACACAAGCAGAGATTTTTCACAAGTGCATTTTCCCTGAACTCTCGAAAGGCTGCTCGCAGTTCGCTGTCTCCTGGCCCCGCCTCCAAATACTGGCCATTTCTTCTTTGTTTAGGTTTATACAAACGTTAGGTTCCAGTGTCAAATTATAAGTATAAACGTACTTCACCCCCAGCTGTGCGTGCACGTGGAGAGCCTGCTTGCCTCTAGTCTTTGGCCACCACACCTCCATCCCAAAATTCGCTGTTACTTCTCTGTAGGTCAGTTGGATGTTATCATCCAGATGACTTGAGAATGGCTGCCTCTTACCTAGCCAGCCAGCCAACACTTTGGGATTAAGGACTGTGTGTCAGACAGGTTTTGAGGGCCTGCAGGCACAGTCTGCCTTCTCAGAGCTTGTGTTCCTGTGGAGGGCAGCGGAAGGGTGAGTGTGAGCCGGTACACAAGCCATTTCAGGGATACAGACGGGGTGTGGCGTGGCAGGCACTGCGAGGGAGCCAGAGCCTCTCTGCAGGAACGGGGCGTGTACGGGGCCTGAGCACTGAGGGAGGCCGCCACGGGAGGCCCAGGCGAGCAGTCGTCTTCTGAGCAGAGGCCGGCGCTGGCCCTGGGCGCCGTGCTTTCAAGAACTGTTGGCCACGGAGCATGGGGGCCCGGAGCCAGGGCCTGCCCCCCTCCAGGGGCCCTTGTGGGCGCTGAGGCCCTCAGGCAGCAAGACAGGGGACCCTGTCATTCCTCTGCGTGCTTGAGGCTGGTCTCTGGCTGCTGCTTGGAGAGGACTGTGGGATGGAGAGGGAAGGGTGAAGTGTAGAGACGAGAGACAAGGTCGGAGGCTGTGGCATTGTGCACACTGGCGAGGATGGTGGCGTGAGCCAGGCTGCAGCTGTGGTGGCGGTGGGAGTGGGCACGCGACAGCCGGGAGCACGTGAGGCCGCCCTGTCCATGTTTGACCCCAGCAGCTGGATGCACGAGTTGTGTCATTTCTGGTATGGAGAGAGGTCAGTGGGGGATCAGATTGTGGGGAAGACACCGGACTCCCTCTGGGCCTACTGTGTTTGTTACTCCGAGCCTGTGGAGGGCACGGGTGAGGGGCAGCGGCCTGGAAACCAGTGGTCTCGGGCCTGGCTGGGGGGCCTGAGCGCCGTGCTGTGGGGACGCCCTACCAACTGTGAGCTAAGGCACTGGGAAGGAGCAGCCCGTGCGTGGGGAGGAGAGAGCCCTGCCAGCTCCTTTGAGGAAGAAACTCCTGTTTTAAGTGAGGGGCTGGAGCTGTGACAGGCGGGTGCTGACAGGGGCTGCGGCTCCCCTTGTGGGGAGTACCCCATCATTAGCCTAGGTGGTGCTTTCTCCGCCTTTGCTGGGGCCCTGGCCTGTGTGGATGTGGTGCAGAAGGCAGAGGTGGCTTTGAAACCACAGAGCCGGTCACTTGTCCACTCCAGGGTGTTGCCGTCAGGAAGCCAGCGTCCAGAACGTGTGGGCTCAGGTGGTAATGGCTTCCCCCGTGTCTGTGCTGGGTGATGCTTATTCT